TGGTCTTGCTGGGGCTTGCAGGGAAAGACTATACCTCTGTAACTGGCAAGAAATAAGTACTTTTTTGCAGCCCCTTCTTGTCCTTCCAGTCACTGCAAAGCATTACTCCAGGGGAGAAAGACTCTGCTGGGGTCTTGCAACTCAGCTCTTCTCCTCTGACAAACACTACTTTGAATCATTGAAAATTCTCATTTAGGGCTCACCCTGTAAATTTGCAGCATATAGAGCACATTTCTTAATAGAAATTCAGCCCACAATGACTTGAAGTCTCCTCTGGTAGTTTGTCCCCATTAATTCTGTTCTGATGCTAGTTACAGTATAGTAGTAACTTATGACTATTGTACAGCTGCTGCCCATATGTAACATGTAAGAGAAGTAACATAGAGACATAAAGGAGTAATAATTAATTAAACAAGAAAAAATATTCCCTATCTGCGAGTTATTTCTATTACTTTATAGAATATATGCCTATAAAATATGTCCCAGTGTAACAAGAGATGAGACCTAGCTGTTTTAGCTTGTGGGGAACATGAAGCTTACTTTGGTTTTATGTGAAGATTTACCACATAGCAGCTCTGTACAGATACCCTGCCTTCCATGCTGTCTGTCTTCATCTGATGAAAAACAGTTCAGCTTCTCTAATAATTATTTGGGAGGGAGTAGTCTAACTTAAAATGTCCCTCTCCTCTTTTTGATGATTTTTGATAGTATAAATCTAGGTAAACCAGTGCTCTGAAAACAAATATAAAATGCAAGTTATCTTCTTCCAATATGTGTATCATTCTCTTTATTGTATGTTTTATTCAGTTCTGGATTTCAATGACCCCTTCAGTACTGAAGTTAAGCCAAGAATCCTACTCATGGGACTGAGAAGAAGTGGGAAATCATCAATTCAGAAAGTTGTTTTTCACAAAATGTCACCAAATGAAACCCTTTTCTTGGAGAGCACTAATAAGATCTGCAGAGAAGAAGTTTCCAACAGCTCCTTTGTTAACTTTCAGATATGGGACTTTCCTGGGCAAATTGACTTTTTTGACCCTACATTTGACTATGAGATGATTTTCAGAGGCACCGGAGCATTGATATTTGTTATTGATTCTCAGGTAAAGAAAAAGTTATAAGGGTTGTTTTCAGGCCACTTCTTTGTTTCCTTGTCTTCCAGCATTAGGGAAATGGAATAAATAGCATAATTCTTTTGTTTTCCCAGAAATCCCCAAGTAACTTATGCTCCTAAATCCCACTAAAAGTCAGTGGGTGCTCTTGCAAATGTAACTGCCAGTTATAACACAGTAATTAAAATTGGCGGAAAAACGGCTTTTGCCCTGAATACAAGTTGGTAACCATAGTTAAAGGCCTCAACTGCTATTTCCCTACTTCCTCTACAAGGAGAATCAAGCAACCAAGAAAAGGGCCCAAAGAGTTAAATGCACTTAGAGTATTGAAATAAAAACCATATTGAAAATAATTTTGACCTGTATTTTATTGTATGCACAAAAATACTGCAAGTACAAAAATCAAGATTGTTAGAGGCCCAATTGTAAGTTGGCCCTGCATGTAAATAGGTGACTTTGGTATGTGGGTCTTTGGGAGGCAGAAGGTCAACTTTTAATCAGAACATTACAGTAATCTGCCTTGTTGCATGGCAGTCTCTGGTTGTTGCATGGACTTCCCAGTGAGGAGCCAGGGAGTCTGAGGTACATGCTGGCTAACATCCATCCGTTAGAAAAAGCTATTTGTGAACTCTTATGAATCTTTAGAAATATGTCATAAAATTTATTTTTTGTCTTATCATTCTTGTCACACGGCTGAGGCTTTTATTTTTCCCTTGCTAGGATGATTATATGGAAGCACTGGCTAGGCTGCATCTCACTGTGACCAGAGCATATAAAGTGAATCCAGACATCAACTTTGAGATATTTATTCATAAAGTGGATGGTCTGTCTGATGATCACAAGATCGAAACCCAAAGAGATATTCACCAGAGGACAAACGATGACCTTGCAGATGCTGGATTGGAGAAAATTCACCTCAGGTGAGGACCAGCCATGCAAAGTCTGCAAGAAAAGCCTGAAACATGGCTTCTGTTTAAAAGCCAAGAAGCAGATCAGGCTAGCTAGTAAAGAGTTTATCATTTCCTGTTCTACTGAAATAGCAGACAACAGGAGTTTGATATAAATATGAAGAGAAAAAGTTAGCTTCGGGCCATATGTATTAGACTATTATATCTGTAGAAAGAGGAGATTATTTTGGCAAATAACATACTCAAGCAAACTGGGAGAGTATAGATTTCAGGTTTTAATGTGTGTGTGGTATTTTTCCTGACTAGAAGCTACAGTCATAAAAATTAATGTCTTGTGAATAGAGGCTTTCACAATTATGGTGACACCATTGTATTGTTCATTTGGTCCACTAGATTTTTAAGGTATGAGAGTTGTTCTTTTAGCACATAGAAAATAATTTCTAGAGGATGTTATGCAAACTACATCATTGAACTCCACATGCAGGGAACTACTGCTGTAGTTACGATTGAGGTATTGAGAATGTTCCATGT